CCCCAAAACCCCAAAACCCCAAAACCCCAAAACCCCAAAACCCCAATTTGCCATCATATAATTGAAAATTCTCAATATGAATTCCACTGTAGATCTCTTCTGTGAGACAATTAACGAGGAATCTTTGGGTAAACCAAGATTCATCTCTCCCATCCAAAGGAAGACCCAAAAAGAGTAAGATTTCATAAAATGTTTATTATTTACAGCCCGCTTCTGAAAAATAAGCCTGCAAGGTTTTCAAATTACCCAACCTTAGAGACCATAAATAGGTAAGCACCTTAAATTCTTAATAACCCTTATGTAGACAGAAAGGAATCAAAAGGTTCTGTAAACCAAATGCTGTCTTTAGAGCAGCTGTTAAAGAGAACCTTCGAAGTCGCCAGCCCATCCAGAGAAAGAACTTTAAACTTGACCTGGAAGATGACCCTCTCAATAAACTCCTTGAAAGAGAAAAAGTGAGCTTATTTTCTAAAATTTCTCAACTCAAAAGAACCCAAGGGATGGTATGCATTTAATCAATATAAATTAGATTGAATCAAAGAACTTTCTCGACAGTTCCATCACTCCTGAGAATACATTTGTTAATGAACGAATCTCAATGGCTCAGAACAACATAATGCCAACATTCCCGCTTCAAAAGATTAGAAGAACTACTTACTACGACTGGAAGAGCCATGAATATGAGGGAGACATTGTAAGCTTGTTTAAATATTATAGAAACAAAAATAACTACACTTGTACTAATTTTAATAAAACTGATAAAACTCCTCAAAGTATCTCCCCATATGCCCAAGATATGAGTTCAGATACCGCCCGAGTTGTCAGAAAATTTAGAAATGAACGAAATTTCAGCACAGCTTTGAAATAAATTTGAAAATAACCTGAGCAAGTACATGCCTCAGTCGCTAGCTGGCCAAAAAGCCAAAGATTTTAAAAGCTTAGACACATTAAAAACTGAGCCAAAGTATTTCAATAATTGATTTCTAGGCACACTTCTAACCAAGACTCCCTCAAAACTGACCCTGTTCTAGGACCGTTTCATACAGAAATTGAAAGAAAAACAGGCACGAAAAAGTGAAATATAAAATTTACAAATAAAAAAGACTTCATTAAATCTCTCCAGCAAACGATCATAAAGATCACAGAGAACCATAATATCAAAATAGCGAATCAAAGTACGAACCTAGCTCATTTGTAGACCTAAAATTACTAGACGGAGATGCTTCCAAACACTTCATGAGCCATACTGCAAAGAGAGCCTTTAGCACATCACCACATGCATATTCGAAGGAAACTCCTGTTGAGAACTCTAAAGCTGTTCCTTACTGCAGAGGTAAATTCTAGATAAATTTATTTAGATATTGTTCTGAAGAGGAAAAAGGGGCTTTACACAACTAATCAAGAGAAGGAAGCATATTTCTCACAAGATAAACTCAAAGAAGAATCCAAGTAAGAATAAAGTTCAATGATACTTAACCTCAAATTCAAACTGAAGGTCTAAAGAGCACAAGCCTGGGTTTAGCTACAATTTGAACTATATTAAATTTGATAACTCTAAGCAAACTGACACTGATGATGAGAATGGCATTTCTGAAACCATCAGGCCATATATTGTGAAGAAACCTAAGCAAGACCATCTCAGAAAATTTCGGAAGTACCTTGAAAAGCACTATTCTGGCACAAAAATTGCTGAAATCAGGAGCAGGATTTCCCAAGATCACTTACCAAATTCAAACTTTAACTTGATCCTAAACCTCTTTAACGAATTTATTTTGATCACCCAAAAATAGGAGGAATTCGCTATTTGATTTTGAGCTAATCAAGGATATATGTAAAGCCTTCAAACTGCCAAAACCGAGAGGAATAATAGACAATAACTTCATCACAATGGTAAAAGAAAAGGTGTTCCAATCCTTTCTCTATCATATTAACTTCGACAACTGCCTCTATGAATATAAATGGACCACAATTAAGGCAGATTTTCAGAAGAAAACTATCTACAAAGCATACATCTGAAGAGGCAATAACGGCAAAGTTGTCAAAAATATGCTCAAATAGAAGGTGGTGGTGGAGCTTCACCTCAAAGCCCGACCCAAGAGAATGTGACTTTATCTTTACTCAATGGCTCAGACCGAATATTGTCAGAAAGTTAAAGCATTCGAAGGACAATCTGACAGATTCCCAATTTCAAAAGATTTCTTTTAAAGAAGATAAACAAGAATTTAAACATAGCTGAATTTATAACAAAATTCCGGAGAATTATAATTTGGCAAATAAAAAGAACCTATTTTTGAACCTGGTGAGCTATTATAAATCAATTGGCAAAGATCCCAACGAGTTCATCCCTGAAACTTATCTCATAAAGTCAGGTCCTGAACACCCTAGTTTCATTGAGTTTAAACTTAAAGTTAAAGGCTCAGATGAAGGCTGCTGGATCATCAAGCCAGGAGAGAACTCCAACAGAGGAAGAGGTATAAAGCTTTGAAGTACTATCAGTGAGCTTGAAGCTTGTATGCAAAACAAATGTCGGTCTTATATCATTCAAAAATACATTCATAATCCATTATTAATAAACAAAAGGAAATTTGACATTAGAGTTTTTGGCTTATTTACCCAAATTAATGAATGCCAAAAGGGATATTTTTTCCAAGACGGTTATTTAAGGACTGCTTCCAAAGAGTTCACTTGAAAGAACATCTACAACCGGTTTATTCACTTAACAAATGATGCTGTGCAGAAGAAGAGCGATAGTTATGGGAAATACGAGACATCAAATAAGCTATCCTACAATGACTTAGAGAAATACCTCCGAATTAATTTCAAGGATATCTCTTTTTATCGAGATATTTACCCCCAAATAAAACAACTTGTTAGAGACAGCTTTCTCAGCGTTTATAACAAAATGGGGCAAAATAGAATAAATGCTTTTGAGATATTCGGCTACGACTTCATGATAGATGAGAATTTCAAGGTTTATCTCATAGAAGTTAATACAAATCCTTGTCTTGAGATCAACTGTAGCTTGTTATCAAGTGTGATATCATCCCTAATAGATAATACTTTTAGGATCACCCTTGATCCATATTATCTATATCCTTTCCAATTCAAGGACAGCAAAAGAAATATTCCTTTGACAGATTCTAGCAGCACATTATCTAAATTTGAACTAATTTTTGATGAAAACTTGGAGAAAGACACTCTAAAATCCCTCAAATCCAAAATAACCAGACCATCGATTAAGCATGAAGCACCAACAATAGAAGAGTGACAGGATAATACCTCTCTAACTTCTTCAGAAGAGGGAAGAAATGGTCTTTAAGTCAATTTTGATTTAAATTTCAAAGGAAATTGAAGTTAGCCAAGTAAAGTCTTTCTATTCAAAAAATCTCTTTCCTTTCTATTAATGATGTACATCTTATTCAGCATGACCTCATTCTGCGAGACATTCCCAGTATTCCCTGTATTCATTTTCGATGAAGAGTAAATAGAAGCCAGTTTGTTTTGGTTCTCTTTTGGTTGCATAGAATTCGATATTAAACTCCTGTCCTTATTAAAAGATGCAGTAGGCACCATCTTCGCAACCTTCAGACTCGCCATCTCAATATTCCTAGATTGGTCAGGGTCATCATGCCTCAGAGTATCTGTCTTGGGAGGTAGATACTTATCCAGAACAGACTTTGACCTATTCTCAAATTTTGAAGTGTGATTCAAGTAGGGTCTATTCATCAATGTTTTCTTAATATCTCTCAGCTTTTTTCTCTCATCAGCTTTGACAATTATCTTATTTTCTTTGTCATTCACATCCCTAGGAGTTCTCATTGCCTTCTTCACATGAATATTTGACAAGCTCTTATTACGAAGATTATTCCCAATTTTTCTTGACTTAACTGTGGGATTTTTGAAGAAATTTTGCAATTTCTTGAGTCTTTCCTGTCTCTTTGACTTCAAAGGATTAAATTCGATATCATTTTGGAAACTAAAGAGATTGCCAACGGGGGATATATTGTTCTGTTTGAAAGTCTTCTTGCCTCTATCCTGACGCCGAGGCTGGGATTTGTAGTGCCTGCTTGTCCTGACCTGCCCGAGGTTGTCAATAGTCATATCCCTGATCTTTCTTGGAGTGTTGGAGTTCAGCTTTCCTTCTTCCTGATCTCCAGAATGATTGTATACATTATAAGTTTGACCTTTGTTCTTAGCAGCTGGCTTGAATTTAGGGTAGAGGTTAAGCCTTCCGTTCTTTTCATAAAGAGAGTTCCGATACTTCTCAATGTCAGATAAAATATCAACCAGATTGCCTGAAGTCAGCTTAGCTCTTTGTGATTCAGGGACTGATTGGCCCACTTTCGAGTTAGCACCTTCAATATCGTCAGTTCGAAAGTGTCTGCGTGAGTTTACGTTGCCTGCTTCCTCTCTTCTTTTGACAAAAGATTTCTTATAATTTTTAAAGGTCTGAAAAGCATTATGGTTAGGGTCTAGTGGTTTATCAGACTCATATTGTCTGATAAAGCTAGTGGCTCCTCCTATATCTTTAGTGTTGTTCTTTCTGTCATTCTCTGGAGAGACTGCCTTCCTGAAAGGCTTGTTATCAGCCATGCCACTTCTGATCATAAACTCTGAGTACTCTGAGAGTAGGAGGTTGGAATCCATCTTGTTCCCTTCCTTCTGGAAAGTTTGATTAGAACAATGTCGAGAGAAGGAATTCTCATTTAACTGCTTCTTGAGAGGGTCTAACTGCCTTCCAGGAGCACCCACATTCCTTTCAGAATAATCGCTAATCAATGTGTTGAGCTGTTTACGTTTGGATTTCATCATCATGTAGCGAGAGACTGGTGAGCTCGAGGTTGGAGCGTTCTTTGGAGGGTGAGAAGGGTGAGGGACTTTTTCTTCCATTTTCCTTTTCTCAGATTGCAATAATTTTATTTTAGGATGGGGTTTTGGGGTTTTGGGGTTTTGGGGTTTTGGGG